ATAATGTTTACTCCTTGGTTTTCGCAGGAAGGTATGGAAACTATACGAGCAGAACCTGTTGCTGATGTTGTTTCCAAGGTCCTCTCCCAGGCCAGCTGCAACACCTTTTCTTTGAAGAATGCGGGTATCAGGACAATCTGCTCCAGACTTCGGGAATGGCTTGCTGCTCATCAGGAAAGTTCAGCTGTCCTCGCAAACAAGTGGATCAACTGAAGAGGAAGGCAGAAAACACTGATAGAGAGTTCGAGGAGTTCAAGAAACAGCAACATGAGGAGTACAATAAGCTCCGCGAGCATATCATGCTCTTAAGCACTAGTAACTCTCAGTCTCGTTGATGCAGTGAACATGTGGTTTGTTTACTGGTTTGATATGAAATTTTGGCGGCTTGATATGTGAACTCTATCATTGGTTTGCTGCTGAGCGGAACTATTGTTATTTGATTTAGGTTCAATATAATTATGCATGTAGTCATTTTGTGCAGCAGTGTAGATCTAAAATCATTTTCTCTGATGTAATGATTGGTGTGCACGTGGTAGATCCGGCACAGGCACGTTGCTAAATAAGAATCTGACACGTGGACAAACTAGTGAATGACACGTGTAAGAGCCAAGATAGGGCACGTGGGCCAATACAAACAAAATATGTGGTACAAATCCGTCCTACCACATGGTCGAATCAGAAAAAGACACGTGGATAGCTCAGGGCGTGACACGTGGCCCAATAAAATACCGACACGTGGACGTACAGCATCGAGACGCGTGGTCAAGTAAAAGAAAGACACGTGGGGTATTGTGGTCACACCACGTGGACCAATAAAAATACGACACATGGTCCAATAAAGACGTGACACGTGACCCAGTCGCAACACGACACATGTGCCAATAGAAAACTGACATGTGGAAACAGGGTCCCGACACGTGGTCCAGTAAGAACCTGAAACGTGTAAGAACCAGAGATGGCCATGTTGTGTAATAAGAAGGTGACACGTACCTGAATCATCTCCAATGCAACCGGCTATAGCATGTACACGTGGAAAGCATCTCCAACGAAAGCACCCGCCAGCATGGCTGCCTCCTGCCACGTATGCCAAAGCAGTTCTATGACGGTCAGTTTTCATCATAGATCTATCCACTTCTATGACTATTTTCTAGAATCGTCATAGAATTTTAAGAATGGTGCGACTTCTATGACGAACTATTTTTCGTCATAAATTCGTCACAAAACTAAAATTATGACAAATTTGGATCCTTCAATGATGAAAGTTGTTCGTCATAGAAGTGGATATTTCTAGTAGTGACAATGGGTACTTAGATGTCCGCCTAAAAAGAAAAAAAGAGATGAATAAGATAGCCCATGTTCTCTCACAAAAATATTTCCAAGTTTCAAGAGAGATATGTTTTCAAGAAGCAAAAGTAGAATTAGGTTAGCCACCATATATATATCCACCACATATATCCACACACATGCACATCTTGATTTGATTGTATGACTCATTTCTCTTTGGATCCGAGGTTTGACTTTATAATATATGCATTGCAAGTATGCTCTAGCTTTCTCCCTACCTATGAACTCCACATAAGCTTTAGTTGTAGGAAAGAAAAAGCCATAACATCATTATTGTCTTGGTGAGAATCCATAAATACCACATATATTGAGAGGTTTGAGAGTGTCATACAATGAAATCTCTGAGTTTTATTTTGAAAACTTATAAAAACTCTGAAACAATAGTGGAACAAAGAACTTGAGAAATAGTGATTGAGTCGATCATTCTGTCTTTCAATTGCTCAAGATCCAAGTGAAGGCTAAGAAGTCCTATGGTTGAAGGTAATATGGGTAAGTTTGAAAGTCAGATCAATTTATTTTAATCCGGATGAGAATTTTTGATTGAACGCATGCGTACTTTTGAGGAGTGAAAATATTGTAGCAACTCCTGATCCATTGCTGAGTTTAGCATTGCTCAAGGACGAGCAAATGTCTAAGTGTGGGGGAGCTTATTGATGGTCGTTAACATCAATCATAAATCGTCAACATATCATACATATATACCTAATTCCATCACCAAGCATAGGTATAGGGGTTTAAACTAATGAATTTCACAAGTTTTGGTGAATCTGTGTTTGTAGGGGAATCTATCCAAAAAATGAGCAAGATGGACCTAATCGTCAGATTAAATCACATTTATCCATGACAAAACCGACTTAGGAAGACTCCATAACACTCCAGAAGGCAAACCACCACGACAGAGCCCGAGGGGCTGCCAAGTGGGGCCAGCCGGCCCCACCTGTAGGCCGGCTGGCCTATGGGTCCCACATGTTGGTCTCTCCTTCGTACGTTGGTTCCCCACCGCCTTTGAGAGTCCATCTCCGCCGTTGCTCAACGTCGGTTCAAATAGAGGGACGAGATGGAGCCATGCCATATGAGATATAGTGTAAAGTTTAGTACCACATCGGCTACTAAGAGGGGAAGGGTGCCAGGCACCCCTCATATAAGGCCCCTCATACCCCCCTCCTGAGGCATCTCTCCAATCTCCAAAGAAATCCATCAAAGATCAAGATACACCAAGAGGAATAGATCTAGAGCTCTCCAATATAGTAGATTAGTAGCTCAGGAGTGAGAGTCGAGTTGGGCTCATGCTCAGGTTCCGGATCCAGTCTCGGAGGCTCGGTAAAGCCATTGTATCTTCACTTATTTATCTTATGAGACATTGTTATCATTATATTATTCTTATCTACATGGCTATACTTACTTTAAATACATATCTTGCTTAGTTAAGGTTATCTTTACTTTTATGTGCGGGTACATAGAGCGCTTAGCCTGCTAGTTTATCGATTGGGCTAAGTAGCCGAGTTTCATGTAAGCATGGTGCTTATACGATGCTCTGCCTGTGAGTGCACCCTGTTCCCTGGTCACGTGGTAGCAGCGGGAGGTGGCAGCCCCGTCTATCCTCTGTAGTCCACCCCATGTTGAGCAGGTTCTTAAATTGTAAGACTGTAGTCGTGTCAGTAGAGTTATCTTTTACGGTGCTCTACCGTCCAGCGGTGTCCCGAAGTGCACAAGTGTAAAGCGAGTCTTAGCCATAGTTGGGTATATATATACTTTGATCCTATAATAAGAATATCATAGGAATCTACCTCACTCGTTATTTTCCTGAGTTAACTAGTTTATATTATCTTAGTGATCTATCCTCTGAGTATCATTATGCTTTATTCTTATCATTACATTCACCCCTGCTCCAGCCGTGCTGATATGTTGACTGAAATTATTCCTTTATGATTCAATAAGTCTTTACTCCATTGTTTTCCTGTGGTAAAATATAAATAATGATATATGGAATACTCCCGGTAAAATGCTACAATGATATTCTATGCGCTTGCGGAAATCTTATATTTTAGTTTGCACTCATAAATACCAACCATTCGCCAGCTCAGTCTGAACCGGACTCTCTCTAAACCGATGTTTGGGCGTATTTTTGCATAGAAAACTTGGAGATTACGATTTGAACTTGTTTACTGTTGAGATAAGACCACCTCCTCTATATATTAGAGGATCATGGCTGATTGAAGGATCCAACACTCCATCGTCTTTCTACACCTATTACCCTATTTTCCCCTTTTCAACCCTTTTGTTGTTCGTTGCATCTCTCCGCGATATTCATCAGCGTTCTATATAGCCTTGCTGATCTTAGAACAAACCTAGGCGTGCTCCTCCCCGACGGGTCCTCCTAGGAGGCATTCCCATGCTTTTGCGGCGAAGGACATGCTCTAGATCAGCCTAACGATCCGTTTAGTCGTTCTTGGAGTTGCTTGCTGCGTGTGATAGGTTGACTGCAACCTAGGACATGCTAGTCCTTGCTATTGTGTGATTTGGATCTCAATCCAACGTCAACTCATGGTGTATCAAATTACCTAGCTTCATGTGATTAAGGACAAAATGATTGCTCGCTTAACTATGGTTAGTTATTTGTTTGTTAAAAAAAAACAGGTCGTTAGTATTTCATTGCGCGGCGGAGCCTGAGAAATCACAATTCCTATCTCCTCCTTCCCAGTGCAAAAGGGCTGGGGCTCCTCCATCAGCTCCTGCGGTGAATCTGTTTCTATCCGTGCCGTTTGCTACGCTCCTCCTTCCTAATGCAAAAGGGCTCCAGCTCCTCCATCAGCTCCTGCGGTGAATCTGTTTCTATCCGTGATGTTTGGTATGACTCCTTCAGGAGTCGGAGCTGGAGCAGGAGCACCTCTGGGAGCCATACCTTTTGCATTTTGCTGATTTTCTAGGAAAACCGGCTCAGTTCCCATAGCGGTCCGTCTGTTTTTCTTTTCCGAGCCAAGAGATGACGTCGCGGGCGAAATGGTAAGCCAAAACGATCCTGGACTCAGGATAGTGGCACGAACGGCGGACGCCGTAACAGTGACCATTTCGATTTTTTTTCTTTACCAAACAAAAAAAATCATATTTGCTATTAGTCAAATAACTTATGTTGCAAATGCGACGCCCGTGGTAAAAGACAATATCAGCCCCTTTTAGTCGATATAATAACACTTTGTAAAATTCCATGAAAAAGGTAACAGCCCTGCCGTGAAAAAGAAGCGGACAACTTTCCATAGAGTAACATAAACGTACACAGATACAGCAGTACTTATTTGCTTCAGAGTTCAGACGAGAACAGCTGCAGCCTCCGGGCAACGGGGCAAGCGACCATTCATCTTAACACGATGCAAGCACCACATAAATGTACGAAGATCATACCCCATAGGAAACTATTTTGATCACTTGGCCTCTCTTCAGTGTTCAGTCCAATTAAAACGATACAGTTCCAAGTTCCAACACATTCCAACCCTGAATCTGAGGGGGGGGGGGCTAAAAGGAGAGCTACAGTTCATTTCTTATGTATGGTACACAGGAGCATTACCATCTTTGATCATCCACATTGGGGTCAGGGTCCAAAAAGATTATAATGGTAATTGTAAACTACAGAAATCATGAAAAGGGAGGCTTTTCTAAGCTCAGCTGCTGGCAGCTATGCTACCGGGTCTAAATCTCACATTCCTACACTGCCTCAACTTCCCAACAGCCTCCTGGGACTTCCCTTGCAAAAGGTCTATGTAAACTGATGCTAGCACTGCCCGGGGGTTGTTGGGCAACATCGCCAGGCCACGGCTCACCATGTAGTTGGCCTGCTCAACTTCTCCCTGCATTGCAGCAGTCATGCCAAGGTCAATATACAGAACACCACGGGCCTCCTCGGGCCTGAGGCTCTCTGAGTGCTCAGATTCTTCTGTGGCTAGTTTTGTCACTGAAGGAGCAACCGAGTCTTCACCATCACTGTCTCTCTCAACTAAGGCCTTTTCAGAGTTCTCCACATTATACGGCAACTCGATATCATTGCCATCTCTTATATAAACTGATAGCTTCTCAGCAGCATCCTTTGGTCTGTTCAAAGTACACAGAGCTTCAGCTGCGTATACATGGCTGAGGAATACATACATCCTGGAACAGTCTGTCAGCTGCAGTACTGACTTTGCATAAGACAAAGCTTTCAAGGGATTCTCAAGACACAATTCAACAAACGCCAAGTTCCCCAGGATGGCCTGTCTGATTTTGAGGTTCTCTTTTCTACATATCTCATCATGCAAAGCAAGAGAACTCTGCCAGGTAGCATTCAAGCTCGTTCCCTTTTGTTCTCCATTTACATTAGCTAGAGTTGGGCCAGAAGGTGATTTAGAATCTGTACTTGCAGTGCTCTTCTGACCTGAGCTTTTATATCCTTGTACTGCTCCTTGGTTGCAATCCTCTGTGTTAGATGCGATTACCGAATTTTCCTGCTCAGTAGCATCCAATAATAGCAGCGCATTGAGTAGACACTGTCTAGCAAATCCAAGTGAAACCAAATTTTTATGTTCGCCTGAAGTCACACCTGCAGAATCAAAATTATTTCTCAAGTTCACAGGGTTGACAATCAACTGCCGCCATTGTCCTGACCCCACAACATTGATTTCAATCTCATCGTTGCATGAAGAAGCACCATTTGCACACAGGATACCCTTTTCTAGAGCTAGCAGACTACACTCGGAAAAACGGAGCCAGAAAAGGGGTCGCTTGTAGAAGAGCGGCATGGCCTCACGAAAACAAGAAGCTGCTAACAAAGGCTTCCCACACATCAAATGTTGGATACCACAGTTGTATGAAATAAGGCAAGACTTGTCTTGTGATAATGCAGACAGCTTCATTGGTTTCTCTGAACGAAGTGATAAGCTGTATTTTAGTGCTTTGCTAAAGCACCATATAGAGGTGTGATACGATCTCTGTTGGTGGAGTATACATCCCAGGTTGTTGTAGAAAATGGCTAGCATTGCTGGTTCAGTCCGATTATTCGGTGTGCTCAATAGCTTCACAGCCTTCCTATAATTCCCCCGGGCATACTCCAGCTGAGATTTCAAGAGAAGCTCTGTAGATGAATCCCTACCACGTGCCATGTTCATTAGTACTTTGAGTTCTCGCTTCGCAACTTTAAGGTTCCTAGTGAGCAGTAGAAGCCGGACCTTGTAAATCTGAAGTCTAACTTTCAAATCAGCAGCAGTAGCAGCGAGATCAGCCGATGCCCTTGAGAAATCATTCAAGATACGCCTGCCCAAATTCTGATGTCCATCAAAAGTAGAGTACAGAGATTCAAATTCTATTTGATCATCTGGGAAAATTCCCGCTGAAAGGTTCTCGTATCCACCAGCATAAGCATTTGAATCAGAATCTGGAGGCATGTTAATTCTGGCAGGAGGCTTCGGTTGAGCTAATTGCTGCTGAGGTATGCTTACATTTTCATTCGGGTTCATTGTGTTAGCTACTCCAAATGACCTTTCCAAGTATTGTATTATGTCCTGTAAACCAATAAATAATCATAAAGTTCAATAAGTTTAACAAAGCTTCCTCTACGTGAAGTCAATACTCTAGGTCCAAAAAAGAAACAAGACCAAATGAACACTATGACAGACCCTACTAAATATGACTGTACTAACACAAAGAGTTCAAGGTTCCAACACAGAACAATATGTAGGAACCGCAAGATCAACACACCCCAGATCTCTCGTTAAGAATCATCACATGTCAAGGAATTGCAGTGATAGCATAAAAATGTCATAAAAGGATATGAAACCAGGAAGCATATGGAAACAAAGTGCATAAGATCCGAAATACTCCCTCCAGTCAGATAAATGATGTTTTAGGTTGCGTGCAGTTCACCATTTCAATCTTTGACTAGAAATACTTTCCAAGTTGAATTTGGATGCTTGAAAATTGTGGAAGTAGATTTGTCCTGAAAAGTTTCATAGGACTATACTTTTGCTATATATCTATAGACATCATAACAAAAATTAGTAGCCAAAGTTGTCTCAAAGACCATGTCAATGTCCAAAACATCATTCATTTGTGACAGGAGGGAGTGTCAAATAAAATAGCAAACACAACCGAAGGAAAAAGTCAATGAAGTAAATCCAATCTAAAAAGGAAAAAAGAGCAAACAAGGGCCAAGATCCCAGTTAAATCTGACTGTTAACCTCAAGAGTTCAAAGTTCAACGAACGGACCTCTAGCTGAGTTGGTTAGGTGGCTCTAGTAGCACTCCTCGGGTTCGACTCCCCGTGGGAGCGAATTTCAGGCCGGAATAAAAAAATCCCGTCTGTCCCACGACAAAGCATAGGCCTAAGGTCCAGCCTAGGTCGCGGTCGTACTCATATGAGCTACGGTGCCGCTGTGTATGGGTGGGCAAGAGTTCAGGGGTTTTCTTGACCTGCGTCAGATCTTAGCAAAATGCCCAGGGGCTGTCTTACCCCCCCGCAGGTCGAGTTTTTTTAGAGTGCAAAGTTCTAACACAGGCCAAACTGTAGGATCCTAATAATCACCCTAACAAACTAAATCTAACAGACAATATATAGATAATAGCACAATCAATACACGTACATAACCGATCACTCTCATATTAAAAATCACTATAGCAAGAGACTGACAGCAACACCACAAAAATGAAGTAGCAGAATATGGCACCAGGAAGCATATGTCAGCAAAATGATCCAACATGCCAAATACAAATAATCCCTCCGTTCCTTATAAGACGTTTTGGCTTTTCTAGATACATTGCCTTTACTATGCATCTAGACATAGTGTATATATAAGTGCATAGCAAAAACTATGAATCTAAAAAAGCCAAAATGTCTTATCATTTGGAATAGAGGGAGTAGAATATAAACAATCAATAATAAGACCAACATAAATGTTAAAATGCCATTTTTATGCCAAACGGTGAATGCCACTCATGGTGCGTTTTCAGGAGCCACCATTGACAATAATAATCAGAGACGCATAGAAACAATATAAGTACAAAAATGTTTACTATATCCGAGGGAGACAAATTTTTGATGGCGACTGCAGACAAGGAGAGGAACTTACCACAGCCTTTGTTGCATCTTGCAAAGCTAATGTAATATCCAATAATAGAAAGCATACATGAAGAGCAGTTGTCTGTAAGAGAAAAAAACAGTGTTGACACAATGTTCTCTTATGACAAAGCTACGGAATCGCTAATAATACCTCATCCATTGGTTCAATGTTTCGGTACAACGGGTCCAAAACAGATAGTGCAGATTCATAGTCATGAAGATGATATAGGATGACAGCCTGCAAAATCATAGAGGCCATGAGCAAATCAGCGAAATACAACATATTTAGTGCTTATATGGATAAAAGTGAAATCTATTTGATATAGATACTATAGAACAGAAAAACTTAATAATCAAGTAGTTACCGCTACATAGCAAGACATACCGTGTTGAATGTAATTATGGTCGTGTCAAACTCATCCCCATAAGTTGATGCGTTATGTGTAGCAGAAAAAGGTAGTACAATACCACTCCCTCTTGATCCTGAAGGAGCATTGTTTCCTACCCCATTGGCAGAATCAGCTTGTTCTCTAGATGCACATACAAGCTCTTCACTTCTTCTCTGAATAAAAATGTAAAGGAAGAACATTAGAATAAAACTACCAAGAAAATTAGTGTACACTGAACACGGTAATATAATACAATTGCTAAATTTGTCACCTTTGACCAAAGCACACAAAACAAAACAAAATATTTCAAATAAGCAAGGCCATAATTGTTGCAAGGTAAGACACTAGACAAGTGGAATTTGGACTGCCAGAGGGCAGCTTGGCCACAGCCGCTTGATTGCATTATATAGAAGTAGCAAACTTGGGATACAAGAAGTTCTCAACTACTACAGCATATTCTACTGCATAAAGTAGATGCTAGCTTGGATGCTAAGGCACCTGAAAACTGCTAGACAGTGAATAGTAATTAGCCTAGACAGTGAATGGTAAATAGCTAAGTAGGTAACTAGATACATTGGGGTAAGCACAAGGCTAAACCCTCATTTCTCCCCTTAGCCTTGTGCTCAGCTTTGGAGGTGATCTGCTTCAGGCCAATCCTCTCCCTCATCTCCTCAAACTTGGCCTTGCCTAGAGACTTAGTGAGAATGTCTGCAAGCTGATCAGTAGTTGGCATGTGTTCAGCCTTGATGCTTCCACCTTCCAGACAGCTGCGGATGAAGTGGTACTTAATCCTAATGTGCTTGCTCCTCTCACGGAAGACTGGATTCTTGGCCAGAGCAAGGGCTGACTTGCTGTCCACCTTCAGCTCCACCACCTCGACATGTCTGCCGAGGAGCTCTGCTAGCAGCCTTGAGAGCCACAGAGCCTGGGTTGCAGCAGTAGAGGTGGCAATGTACTCGGCTTCACAGCTGGATAATTCCACCACCTTCTGCTTGATAGATTGCCAGCTGACCAAGCAATTGCCGAGGAAGAACAGCGTTCCGCTTGTGCTCTTGCTTGTGTCGATGTCGCCAGCGAGGTCGCTGTCGCAGTAGCCGACGAAGCGTGCGGTGCCGGGCGCCTTGGTGAAGTGCAGACCGAAGTCGAGCGTGCCAGCGACATAGCGGAGGATGCGCTTGACAGCTTGTTGATGCTCCACCATAGGCCACTCCATGAACCGGCTGACGAAACCGACGGCGAACGCCAGATCAGGGCGAGTGTGCACCAGGTAGCGTAGACTGCCGATGAGACGCCGGTAGTGCGTGGGGTCGACCTCCTCCACTGTGCTGTGCCTGCTAAGCCTCAGCCGCTCCGCCACTGGAGTATGGGCAGGGTTGCAGCCAGCCATTCCGCCGAGCTCCAGGATTCGCTTGGTGTAGTGCGTCTGACGGAGGGTGATGCCGCTGGCATCTTGGCTCACCTCGACGCCGAGGTAGAAGCTGAGGAGGCCGAGGTCACTCATGTCGAAGATCTTCATTTGTGCCTTGAACGCCTCCACTTCACGTTCCTCCGCGCCGGTGATGATGAGGTCGTCGACGTAGACGCCGACGAGCAGGACGAAGCGTCCACTGCCCCGTCGGTACATCGCCGCCTCGTGAGCGCTTTGTTGGAAGCCCATGTCCTTGAGCGTGGCATCCAGCTTAGCATTCCAGGCGCGCGGAGCCTGCCGTAGACCGTAGAGGGCCTTCCGGAGGCGGTAAACCTTTCCTTCTTCTCCAGCGACGGCGAAGCCGGGCGGCTGCTGCACGTACACCTCCTCCTTGAGGTCGCCATTGAGGAAGGCGGATTTGACATCCATGTGGTGGACGCGCCGGCCTTCTTGAGCCGCCAGCGCGAGGACCCTGACTAATTCCATGCACGCCACCGGAGCGAACGCGTTGTCGTAGTCCACTCCTTACTGTTGGACGAAGCCGCACACCACGAGTCTTGCTTTGTGCTTGATCACTGCGCCCAACTCATCTTTTTTGAGCTTGAACACCAATTTCAGGGTGATGGGGCGGTGGCCGGTGGGCAGCAGCACCAGCTCCCAGGTGCGGTTCTACTCCACGGCCTTGATCTCCTTCCCCATTGCTGCCCGCCATGCCGGATCGTCCTTGGCCTCGGCGAAGTTGGCGGGCTCACCGGCGTGCGTCAGGTGTAGCTTGGCGAAGAGACGTTGAGGCGGCGGAGGTGGAGGATGGTCGCCGATGATGTTAGACATCGTGCGGTACCGTAGCGGCTCATCGTAGTAGTAGGCGTCGAGTCTGTCTTCATCATCCTCCAGTGGAGTGGCGAACTCCACTTGATCACCGGCCATAGCTGCTGCCACCGGTGAAGTCGGTGAAGTGGTAGGGGCAGCAGGGGACGCTGGTGGTGGCATTGGCGAAGCCGACTGGGGCGCTGGAGGAGTGGCCGCAGCTGCCGATGTCCTTCCAGGCTCCCCCGGACTTGGTGACGGCAAGCGCGGCGCAGAGTGGTGGCGCCGGTGATGTAGGTCCAGCTGCCACTAGGGAGGCACCTTGTGCTCCCCCCGCTCCTCCAGGCACCCAATAGTCGACGGTGAAGTCGCTTGCCGCCGAGGCCGAGCTACCAGCGTGGACCAGTCCCAGCCGCGCCCCTCGTCGAAGATGACGTCGCGGCTGATCTTCACGCGCTGCGTCACTGGATCCAGGATACGGTTCGCCTTGGCTCCCTCCGCGTACCCGATGAAGACGCCGGGCTTGCCGCGGTCATCAAGCTTGCGGAGCTAACCCAAGTCCTTGGTGTAGGCGACGCAGCCGAACGTCTTCAGATGGCTCACCGCCAGCGTCCGCCCGTGCCAAACCTCGTAGGGGGTCTTGCCCTACAAGCTCCGCGTCGGCGAGCGATTGAGCAGATGGACTGCCGTCATCACCACCTCCCCCCAATACTTGGCCAGCATCCTCCTCTGCTTCAGCAGCGACCGGGCCATGGCGACCACAGTCTGAATCCGGTGTTCCACCACGCCGTTCTGCTGTGGCGAGTGAGGCGCCGAGAAGTGGCGCTAGATGCCCTCTCTGTTAGTCGCTGAATTCTCACTCTCATCGAGAGAGGATGACACTAGGAGTTGGGGCAATTTTCTTGTCTATTTCTCACACAAACTCACACAAATGCCATACCAACCTGAGGGGTTGGGGTTACATATTTATAGGCTGCTAGCCAGCCAAGCATATGCCAAGATGCTAGTCTAAGATGCTAATATGTTGTCCTAGCTAAGATGTTGTCCTCTAGTCTAAGATGTCCTCTAAGATGTTGTCCTCTAGTCTAAGATGATGTCCTAAAAACAGAAAAACAACCACAAGGACCATGTGAGCAGCACAGCCCCACAAAGACCAGCCACACATGAGACTTTTCCATCACTCTCCTGCGCAGTATTCGGCGAACTTCGCGACGGTGAACTCGCCACCGTTGTCGGTGCGTAGCACCCGGAGCTTGCGGCCGCTCTCCTCTGCCGCAGCCTGGACATGCTTGATGGCGTCCGCGACAGCATCCTTGGACGGCAGCAGGACGGCCCACATGAAGCGGGACGCGTCGTCCACCAGCAAGAGGAAGTAGCGCCACCCTCCCGGAGTTGCCGGCATCACGGGTCCGCATAGATCACCGTGGACGAGCTCCCGCTGCTCCTGCGCGCGGTACTTGGCTTGTTGTGGAAAGGGGGGCCAGCGCTGCTTCGTCTTTACGCAGGTGTCGCAGACTTGCTCGACGTGCTTGATCACCGGCATGTCGCACACCATGGCTTGCTTGCCGAGCTGGTGCAGCGCCTCAAAGTGGAGATGGCCGAACCGTTCGTGCCAGCGCCAAGCGTCATCGTCCTTCCTCGCGGTGAGGCAAAGTGGCTGCGCGGCCTCAAGATGGACGTAGAGGCGGCTGGGCCCGCGGATCACCTTGACGAGGAGGCGCCCGTGGCGATCCTAGATGCGAAGCACGCCCTTATCAATCTCCACCTTGGACCCGCCTTCATCGAGCTGGCCGAGGCTCATGATGGAGTTGCGCAGCGCCGGGATGAAGTAGACGCCATGGAGAACTCGGTGCTCGCCGATCTTGGCTTGGAACACGATCGAGCCGACGCCTTGGATCTCCACCCTTGATGCGTCGTCGAACCGCACCGAGCCACGGAGAGAAGTGTCGAGGTCGGAGAAGAGCTCGCGATGGCCGGTCATGTGGTTGGTGGCGACGTTGTCGAGGTACCAGCCATCCAGCTTGTCCTCGCCGGAGCCGGTGTTGAGGAACGCACGGGCTCTGGGCTCGTCGATGTCGAGGGTGGCGTCGGCCTTGGAGCAAAGGACGTCCTCCTCTGTTTCCAGCTCCAGGAAGCTGTGGGCGAGGAACAAAGCCGCCTCCTCGTCATCCGCCTCCGCGAGATGCGCTGCGCCGTCACGCTCTCGTCGAGGCTAAGGACAATCCTTCGCCCAGTGGCCGGCGCGGTGGCAGTTGAGGCAGGTGTCGTCACGGTTCGCCTTGCGTTCGCCGCCAGCGCCACCAGCCTTCTCTGCTTGCCCGCCGCCGCCACGCTCGCCCTTGGGCTTTTGCTTCCTGCCACCGCGGGGACGTCGGCAATGTTCCTTGGACGCGCTGGACGGGCCGGAGCCGTCTCCTCCCTTCTTCTCCTGCCGAGCGATCCATTGCTCCTCGATGTACATGAGCTTCCCGCCAATGGAGATCGGCTCGGTCGGAGGTTCCTCCTTGAGATCGTCCACCGTCTTCAACTTTCCGGTGACCTCGATGGTGAGGTACTGGAAGTCAAGGAGGGTCTCAATCGCGATCTTCAGCTGGGCATACTTCTTCGGCACGGCTCGAAGTAGCTTCTCCACCGCCCGCTCCTCCGTGAGGTCCTTGTCGCCGTGGCAGGCCATCTGCTGCTTCACCTGCTCACTGGGACGAAAGGCAAGGTTCTCCCACTCCTTGCGCAGTCGCTGCAGCGTGGCGCGGCGAACGTGGTCGACGCCGATGCGCACCGCGGCGATGGAGTCCCACGCCTCCTTGGCCGACTCCTTGTCTGCGAGCGGCGCGCCCATCTTCGGCGGTACTCCGGCGATGATGGTCACGAGCGCGCGCCGGTCATCGTGGTACAGGAGGTCGCCGTACTCGATGGTGTCCCAGAGCTGGCACGCCTGCATCTTCACCTTCATGAGCAGGCTCCACTCATGGTAGTTGGTCTTGGTCAGCATCGGCCATGGCATGCCCATGTCGGAGTCCTTGTACACCGTCTGGACGGCCGTAGGTGAACCGCGACGGCCTCCGTGTCCTCGACGACGCTCAGGCGACGGCGAAGGATCCGGCCGCACCGGCGGGCTCGATGGCGACTCCACAGGCTAACGCTCAACTCCGGCAAAGACGGCGGTTGTGTGTTTGCTGCACGGTTCTGGGTTGTGCCATTGCGCTGCTGGCGACCTCGATCGCTTCTTGGCTGCTGCGGCCTCGCGCCATGACGATGACGCGAGCGATCGGTGGCCGGGGTTGATCACCACCCCTCCGCCGGCGTTGGCGGCTGCGAAGGCCCATGACGGACATCGAAGCACGATCGGTGGCAGGGGTTGATCACCACCCCCCGCCGCGTTGGCGATCGGCGGTACCACACGACGCAAAGCGCCTTCATTTGAAGTGGACATGGCCTCTTCTCTCACCTATCCAGGCTCTAGATACCAATTGTTGAAAGGTAAGACACTAGACAAGTGGAATTTGGACTGCCAGAGGGCAGCTTGGCAACAGCCAATTGATTGCATTATATAGAAGTAGCAAACTTGGGATAGAAGAAGTTCTCAACTACTACAGCATATTCTACTGCATAAAGTAGATGCTAGCTTGGATGCTAAGGCACCTGAAAACTGCTAGACAGTGAATAGTAACTAGCCTAGACAGTGAATGGTAAATAGCTAAGTAGGTAACTAGATACATCGGGGTAAGCACTAGGCTAAACCCTCAATAATAACCTCTACTATGTTGGCCAGCTTTGTCACTCAGGTGTGTATCACCTCACCCCTCACACACATGCTGGAGGTTGAAGAAGAGGATATCAGAGCACGCACAAACCATTTACACAGGAGAATGGTGCTCTGCTGAACTGAACTGGCTGCAGCTAGCCACCACCTTCATATAGAAGCAAAGTCAAACAAAGGGCCATACTGCCCACTACTTGCTACTATGGCCATGATACTGCATGTCACTAGAGCCATAATCCCCAACTGCTGCTGTCCCACAGACAGGGGGATGGAGCTGTCACTATTCCTATGGTCCTATGACAAAAGAAAGATGAGAGCGCAGCAGATTACCCAACATACGAAGACCACATAAAGAAAGTATGGCAAATAATCATGGGTACAGGTGGCAGGAGTATTGGTAGACATGGCAGGATCATTTGATGGAAAAGTTCACTGAGACAATGGGGCATTGAAAAATAATTGCAAATGATAAATGATAAAATGGTTAAAAGCGAGAGTATTGCACATAGTACAGTACAAAATTTAGATAAAAAATAGATGGCACAATGACATGACTCGTTATTAATATTGATATGTTTTGATATACATTATACAATGTTTCAAACTCTATACCAGTGTTATCAGATCGAACGGCTAATCATGATCGCGTTTAGTCATCCTTATCGTAAACTGTGACTCGATAAGGCTCTCGATTCGATCAGACTGACTAAAAAACTAGTCGTCCGACTAACTATTCATGATTAGTCATCCGATAAGTAGTCTGGACGACTAGTTGGGCCAGCCCAAGGAAATGTTTTGTAAGGAATTGGCCCACTTTAGCTGGCCTTTAGGTTTTGGTACATATACCATATATGTTGTAGAAAGGAGGGGGGAGGAGCAGCCGCCGGTGCTTTATGAGAGCACGCTCGTTCCCTTCTCCCACCTCTGCTTGCTGCTCCCACAGCCACTCGCACGCTCCTCCAGCCTCCACCCTCCGCACGCTCCCCACCTCTCCTCCACTGGCGGGTCCTTCTCTCCCTTGCCAGTGCTTCCCGCCTCTTCCAACCAGCGCCTCCCGCCTTCGCCCGTCCCCACCAGCGCCTGTAGCCTGGACCTGGAGTCAAGCAGCAGTGCAACAACAAACCAGCGACTGTCCCCTTGAAGCTGCAGCATTTCATGGTGAACAAGGAAGGGATAGGGGTGGTGTAAAGCAGTTCATGGTGAAGCTGAAGGTGCTGCTGCTGCTGCTGAACCAAGTTCTGGGACAAAGGCATAGGCTGCTGCTGCTGCTGTGCTTGGCTGCTTGCCTCTTCCATTTACCAATTTATGGCCATGTTTACACATTTTTACATCATATATATGGTGTACATACATGGTCAATCAGATCATCTGGGCACATGGACGACTAAATGTTCGACTAGCCGACTAGACCGACTAGGACCGACTAATCAACCCTGATCGACGACTAATCGCGATTAGTCCTCGATCATACGATCTGATAACATTGCTCTATACTGCAACCAGTTTAGGACATGATGAAATAAGTTCGCCTACTAGGCTACTACGAATTTGAAACTTCAAAAAAAACTGAAGACAACTAAAAAATCATTGAAATATTTGGGAGCTACTAGGTCAGTCAGTTCGGTGTTTGAAAGAAGTCCCATATTAACTGCTATTTGTACATATCTTACTGCAACACACCGTAATTTCACCGCAGCCAGCTGCTGTCAAGGTCATAGCAGCTACAGTAGAGCATTAGGTTACGCTAGACACCATAAAGAAACTAAGCCAACTGTAGCTTGAAACTCAGAATCGCGACAATACGACATGCTAAAAAAAATCAAGTGTCCATTTGACAAATAGAAGCACCTTCAGTGTTGCTAAAGCAAAACATTAAAGCATAAAGGACAAACTGCTAAGAATAAGAATACGCCTGTTTGGTGCAGCAAAAGCAGAATATCATTGAATATAACTCACTTATTACACCAAAACAACAGTGAAGATGTCCATAGGATTACATTGCTTCACATGCAGTTCTAACAATATGCACAATGAAGCCAAAATATGATCTTAATGCTTTTTTTGACCGAAGTCAGCAGGGGAAACCCCAACCTATTTTTTTATAATTTGTTTTATTCCAGACCTTTTTAATTTGCTCCTATGGGGAGTCGAACCCAGGCCTGATGGATGCTACTCAGGTGCTCTAATCACTAGGCTAGAGGCCCTTTCGCATATGATCTTAATGCTTAGGCATATAACTTTTGAACAAATTGCTTATATGTCTTAATATCTAAATATTTTCACAATTTGAACTTTTAAGCGCCTTTACATAATGTCCTCAGTTTCACACAAATCGGCAGGAAAGGTAATAAGATAAATAATTATCACAATTGTCGACGTGTGGGTGTATCCTTTGGTCCTATGAGCACACCTATTCTGTCTACACATGCACATCACGAACTTTTGAGTATCAAAAAAAAAAAAATCTATTTTGTGCAATCCTATCTATACATTTTTTTTTTGCAACTAATCCTATCTATACATGATACAAGAATAAACAACAGAATCCACTATCTATACATGAAAGAATTTTGTAACTAGCCAAACACATAGAGAATCCAGGCATTTACTTATAAAAGCAAGCCATTTCTGTTACTTTACTGCAAATCAACATGACAATAAAATGATAGCACAATGAGCATTGCAGATTCACTAACCTTAACATCACCAAGAATTTTAAGCAGCCTGTTTGAATCAGGACAACTATCCAAGAAGGATTCGGTGATAGCCATGTTATGGTGGACCTGAATTTCAAAATTGTGACATCAGATGCAAGGAAAACAATTCTGATAGAAGAACCATTTCTTCCCAAAGCAAAAGAAGAAACCATATTGATTTAATCTAACAATTGTCCTATACAAAGACAATGGAAAACCATACCATCCACCATTCTAAAGCAACTGTTTACCTTGCTGTTTTCAGATAGGTTATGTTTTGAATTTATAGCATAAGGCACCCAGATTAAACAGTTTCAACGAACAAGTGACCTCACCAGTGTCATGACATACATGGAGGAAAATATGGACCCAATGGCACAAAAACTGGCATTGGCATGCACCGAGGCACAATTTGATGAGAAGACAGAACTGTACAGACTAACATGGGTGTTGAGTCAAACCGGTGGTAAAAGTGGGTGGTAGCATTCTACAGAACAGCTCTAGAAACAGCTGCACGAGAACCAGACACATGGTGAAGGTGAATCCATACAACCACATACATAAGCAAACTTTAACCCCCTCACCTAACAAACACCAGCAAGTACCACCAAGCTCACAACCTCTCAGTTGGAACTCAAACAGCACACGAGACCCATTTCCGGCCATTTCCCACACAATTCCACGAGGACCGATCATCTCATTTCCCACACAATCCCATGAGGACCAACCATCAGTCAGAGAGCAATTGAATCATTTCCCACACAATCCCATGAGGACCAACCATCAGTCAGAGAGCAATTGAAACGTGCACATAGATTTGCTATACCCTTTCCCACACAGAACAACCATCAGTCAGAGAGCAATTGAAACATGCCTAACACATAGCTTTTCTATTCACGAAGAAATAGCAATTGAAACGTGCCCAACACATAGATTTGCTATTCCCGAAGAAACAACATAGATTTGCTATGTTCCGAGCTAGATTCCCAAACCGCACCGCACGAGCTCGTAACTCTTGCTTACGAGAAGAGCTAGATACAAAGAGGAGCTAGATACAAAGAGTAGTTACAATAACACAAAGAGTAGTTACAATAGCACCTTGGGATCGCCCTCTTTCTTGTCCAGCAACTTCGTGAGCAACACGGCACAGTCGGCGTAGCGGCGGCCCTGGAACGCTAAAGCGGCTTCCTTCGCCATGGCCGCCGTCGCAGAGAGCATCGCGTCCTCCTCCGCCGCGGGCGGCAGCGGCGGCGGCGGCGCCTCCTTCGCCGCCGGGGGTTCCATCCGCTGGATCTCGCCTGCAGGGCGCAACGGGAGCGTCGGGATACCGCGCTGCCGCGGGGAATAGGACTGGCAGAGACAGGTCGGCCGGCGGGATAGGAGGCAGGCTAGGGTTTGGAGGAAGCGACGACGAGGGACCGGAGGGAGATGGGGAAGGCGATGGATGTTGAGAGGGGTTGCTGCTTTCCTTTCCTGATTTCACGTTGTTTTACGAATTTGCCATTGCTTCCTCTCTTTACGATTTTCAATTTGTCATTTTCTCTTATCTTCTCAACTAATATAAACTTTAAGACCCTATCAAAAAAAAATAAACTTTAAGACTCTATGTATCCTTCTCAATTGTTAGAAATAAAAATTTTGATAAAAAAGTATCCTCCAACAGCTTAACTTGGTTATCCAAATATAATCATCTTCTATCTCGGATTTTTCGTTAGCCAAGTAAAGAAAACGAAAATGGCTTAGAGAGTGAAAAGATATAAAAATGTTTTTTATACAAATGACTCTCTAAATGATGATTTAGAGAGTGGACTTCACAAAGACTATTGTAAATCCTCTAAGAACAAGCCCTCAAATAGGCCTCCCACTTTTGATTTGAGAGCTAGTCTCTTCTTTTACATCTACTCCATCAGAAACCCTCAAATTTATTATAGTAGAGAACAACATGCAAGACCCATTTGTCATTCTTTTCTTCATCTTCTTTCTCGTTGACTAACTTGACCATGCCTCGACAGTCGTAAGCGCGAGGTCACACCGGCGAGGATTGCCCTGTCACAGTAAGGGAGCTCGCAAGGGAAAGGAGAGATGCGTTCACGGGGTTCGACCTCCCACGGCTTAACAGGAAGGGTGGACGTGGGCACAGTGGCTCCCGAGGAAGGGCGACACGTTCGTCCACGCAAGCTCGATAGGGAAGGGCGGTGTGGCAGAACCGTCCGAAATAACGCATTTACGGAGGTGCTTGTCTACCACTAGACACTAAACACCCCGAGAGTGAGCTACATCAGGCGGATTCCGTCGAGCACACCCCAAGGGAGAGCCCGAATAATCTACATTCTTCCCGCAGGATCCAATAATAAGAACTAGTTTACATTACTTAGTCCATTTCATATATCCAGAGTTCTTAGAAATGCATTATTACAGTACCAAATTCAGAGTGCGGAAATTTAACAGCGAAATGAAAAGAAACATCTATCGATAATATACAAGGATCCGTCTGTGCCCATCAAAAGAAGCCTTCACACAATGGCTACTCCTCAAGCAGTACCTACAATAAGGGTAAATATAATCTGAGTACACAATATACTCGCAAGACTTATCCGACTAGTGGGAATAATTTCCCGACTCCAAGGGATATGATAAGCTTTTATGGTTTGCTAGGTTTTCTTTTTGCAAAAAACAATAATAATAGTGAATCCTTATTTATATTATTATTAGCAGTCATGCTTAATTCATTATCTAGCCATTCTATCAAAGCACATGTTCTACTTTCAAGCAAGAGTTGAGCAAACAGTTCCATTTCATCATCTTTCATCTTCCAGTTCTTACTACGGTGCTAGACTGTACACAAGCCGTATCGGAACGCCGGCGATTCGCGAATCAATGTGCATAGCTGGGTACCCCAAAACACACGCCTCGCTTGTATCCCAGGCACAAGCAAGACCAGTCCATCAGTCTCCTATCACGGGGTCCAGCTCCCCGTCCAAACTTGGACTCCAAGCCCCTACTCCTAAGTTCCGGACTCAGTACGGTGCTTAGACCTTCACCATCCCCGCCTCCAATCAGTCGGTCCGGAAAGAACCGGAACCCACGACAAGAGAGCATCAAGCCTTGCCTGCGCCCATACCCAAATATGTGCTCGAGATAATAAGTCTATGACTTGCCTAAAACCCAATACAACGACCGGTCCTTAACCGACACTGACAGGAGGAAAGTGTAACCAAGCTATGCCCCGTTGGCCACAGGACACAACCTCTTACACCCACCAATACCCATATCATATCCATGCCCGGTCTCTATTTTTCCTTTCGACTATTTTATTATGAGTGATTATAATAACACCTATTGTGAGTAACGGCAGGATACTCACGCTACCGACATCCTGAGCATAGCAGCTACTCGACCTATACTAGTAGGACTCGTAGGTAAGTATATTTATGCATGTAGTTTTCATAAAATGTATGTAACATAAATGCACATCATATATATATTCAATGATCATTCAAAAATAGGGGTTATGCACCGGGGCTTGCCTTAGGCAGATAGGGGTGTCAACAAAGTCAGCAACTGATGGCTTCGGGGCTCCCTCCTATACGAGAATCTCCTCCTCGTACTCCTTGATGATCTCCTCGTACTCCTATTCGCCTGTAGGCACGAACTCTATCAATTCGTTATCTACATGCATGAAATGATGATACAACACTTAGTAATACGGCAACAGCAACTCTTAAAATAACATACACCTATCATTACCACTAAATAGGTATGAAACGTTGCATGTATTTTCTTAGCAACTAAAGGCATCCATATTCTTAATATCGATTTACTATATATACGATAAAACAAGAAGTACTAGCTACTCTATTTATCAACCTACTCTAGACCTACAAAAATTATAGTGAGCACATAATAATCTAATGAACCTACTGTAAAAATTTTATTGCAAAAGCTATCACCAATTTACCATAAAAATTCCTACAAATATTAAGCTAAATAATACTAAGTGTCCCTAAACGAATTAATGATTCTATCATTATCACAGATAACTGTAAACTAACTACATGTCGACAGAATATCGTTGATAATCCTCCGAGGGGTAGCCCACGAAGGTAGATAGATCGGCAAAGATACGTGTAATCGAGAACAAGAAGGTAACAGAGACACAAGAGTTAAACAGATTTGGGCCGTCAGCGCGACATAATACCCTACTCCTGTGGTCTGTTGGATTGTATTGGCTATCGTATGATATTCCATGTGTTTTGAGGGGGTCCCTCCCCACCTTATATAGTCTGGGGGTAGGGTTACAAGTCGGTTAGATCTAGGAGACAACCGAAAAGTAATAATATATTACAGGAATTATGAGATCATACGTATCCTAACAGATCTCGTAGCATCTTCAGGATAGTTTTCCTGATGTCTTGCGGGACGTGCCGTGCTCCGCAAGGCTTCGTCTTGTGGGATGGGTCACCCCTAGGGGCGCAGCCCATGTGGTCTGTCGTGGGTATCCAGGGTCGTACCCCCCATAGCTAGTCCCCGAGCGTCTTGTATCTATTGTGCAATGTCATCTTGACCTTGTCCGAGCAGGTATGAACAAAGCCGAGCAGTCAGACTCATAGTCTGACCACCGTAATGAGTTGCCGAGCAGTTGTGAACCGTCGCCGAGTAGTTGTGAACTGTCACCGAGCAGTGTATCCCAAGTAAGGCTTGCCATAAGGATGTAAGGAGTTCAAATTCAAATTCGAAATTATCCTCGTAGTGGACTAAGTGTGCTCACTTAGAGTTCGACCACGAGAAAGGGAGATAGTCTTCTTCAACTTCATTAGGCGCGGAGTCTTCCAGATTAAAGCAAACACACTCACCGTAAGGTGAAGTGTGCCCACTTAGTCCCGAGCCTAACAGTAGATGACGCAGTCACGTGGTGCCAGGGTCCAAAGTAGAAGAAAAGCACAAGACCAGCCGAGCAGGCAGCTAGTCCCCGGGCATAGCCCCGAAATGAGAAAAGCACATTCACCGCAAGGTAAAATGTGCCCACTTAGTCCTCGAGCGTGATAGTAGGTGATGTGATCACGTGGTGCCAGGGTCAGAAACAACAGTCAATAAAAGAAAGTCCCCAGTGTGGTGAGGAACCAAGTCATATTGATGATGCAGTCCTCGAGCCACAAGTGGAAATCTTGGAGAAAAAACCAGAGTAATGGATGTACAGTAGGAGTTACTGAGCCTTAATGGATTGCGGAGAAGTCGGCGAATATTCAGTGAGCAGTAACAAATTGCGGCGAAAAAATGGGCGATATGGGCTGCAGTTGCGTGAAAGCCCAGGTAACGGCCCATTATACCACTTCGAAGAATTCAGAGAGACGCAAATCGTGGAACAGTTTCCCAAAAAACCTCGAATGCGAAAGGTGGGGGGAGTGCTTTATAACTGCGCCACCGCACTCCGCGCTCCCACCTTTGCCGCTTCGCCACTTTGTCTTCCTCCTCAGCCCTAGCGCTTCTAGATCCATATTCACACGTGCTTCCACCGCCAATCCCAAACTAGATCTGAGAGATGGCACCAAAGAGGGGAGTTGGAAACCCGAAGAAGGCGCCCACCGGAGCCAGCCGTGACAAATGAGTCGATGTCGTCGCTCATGGGGGAGGCGGAGATCAACGGGATGGTGGAGGCGGGCGTTCTTCCTAACCGTGTCACCGCCGGATGGTGGCCGGCCTACGGTAAGGCCTACCCGATGCCGCATACCAATGAAGCTGTAGTATTTGAAGATTACTTCTAGCGCGGGTTAGGATTTCCCACTCATCTTTTCTTGAGGGATCTGTTGGAGTTCTAGAGAGTTAATCTATACAATCTCCACCCAAACACCATCTTGCACATTTCGATTTTTATCCATTTCTGTGAGGCGTATCTCGAGATTCTTCCCCACTTCAACCTCTTCCGTCACTTGTTCTAGCTGAAGAAGAAGGGCGGCGGCGGTTCTAGGGTGGTCGGCGGCGTGTATCTGCAACTCCGCGACGGGATGGCGGGCGAGTACATCACTATACCGCTAAACACCTCGTTGAAGGAGTGGAACACCAGGTGGTTCTACATGAAGCAGAGCCATCCTACCATCCACTACAACGTCGACCACATCCCGGAAAACCAGAAAAGCTGGTCGGAGAAGCCGAGCATTGGTGGTATGGATTAGGTGAAGGAGCTCCTCGGCCTGATAAAGAGTGTGAAGATGAACGACGAACTGGTGGCGGCGAGCTTCATAGTGTGTCGCATCCTGCCCTGCAAGGAGAGGGCCCACGCGGGCTTT